CAACGGCTTCTAATTATCTCTTGTTTCCAGGGACCTCGATCAATGTGTCAGCTGGTATGCTAATCTTGTCATTTTTTTTAGAGAGGTCTTTAGATTAATCTCTGATGAATTTCTTTTAAAGTCCCGTTTTTTCTTTCTTTATCCCTTTTCTTTTTAGGGCCTTGGTGATTCGTCTCCAATTCCCGATCTCCCTTCCTTTTCTTGTGATTGGGCGGGCACACAGAAAAACTTTCATTGCCAGAAAGCCTTAGGTGCTCATTAGGTTTTGTGCTAGTAGCAACTGCGTTTGGAAAGCTTGGCCGAGGCATTGTATCTATAGCGTTTTACTCGCATGATTTCTTGTGCTAGATATTGTGTGGATGGAAACACAAAGCAGCTGTACACAATGCAATGTGTTATTATTGTTATGACGGTTGATTTTATCGTGACATCAGTGGCGGCGACTGAATTGCTCACGTGGCTGTGTGCTGACGTGGTCTTGTTCACTCTAAGGCCAACGTCTAAAGTCATTCATGTTTAACACGAGGAAGTGGTTTCGTCAGCATGTCCGCTAGCATGGAGTTTGTCAGGCAGAACTCCAGCTCGATCATTCCTCTCTGGATCTACTCTCGTATAAAGTGGAAGTGCAGCTCAATGTGTTTAGTACGAGAGTTCTTGGTCAAGGCTATTCCAAACTGGTTATCACACAACACCTGTGTTCATTTGTAGATCCTGGAGAAGTCCCTGCAGCCACGCTGCTTCCTTGGTTGCAGCTGCTCAGCCTCGGTACTTGACATTGCCATAATAACCTGTTCTTTGCTGCACCAGCTTGCGACATTTCCATTTAGCAGGAAAACGTAGCCTGAAAAGATGCTTTCTCCTCCTCTTGAGATTGATCAAGGTACTCTCGACTCTCAGCAGATAATTTCGTGCCTGTGTCCGTGGGAGTAGCAACAGGGTTAACGTGAGTAAGGCCATACCTCTGGAGCACGTCGTAAGCATATTTTACCTGGCTTAGCTCCAGAGTGCCTCTCTCCCTGTTGATACCGAGGTCTTTCATGGCAAATTTAGCTTCAAGATACGTTTTAAATTTATGGATCAAACCTACCACGAGGATCGCAAGTAACACATAGCCCTCAGTGTCAAAATATGTTACAAGCGCACGAAAATTAGAAAAGGATCTATTCTCATGTACCATTGGTGTGGCGACTGCTTGAGTCCGTAGAGAGCTTTGTGGAGCTTGCAAACGAGGTGTTCTTCTCCAGGCTTGATAAAACCAGCTGAGCATACACCTCTTCATTGATGTCCATGTTGAGGAATGCCTGCCAGATCGCCTCCTTCGGGCGCTCCTTCAGCAACTCCACCTGGCTCTGCACCGGCTGGATTATCTGGTGCTGGGTAGAGAATTGGAACGTCGTCCAAAATCTCAGAAAGATCCACCAGAGGTGGTGGAGAAACGGGGGTTTATAGCTTCATCTCATCACTAATTTCCTGCGTTGGCAGTTATAGTCAATAAGCTTTTAGCTGCATTTCTCACTCTTGGGATCCAGCTTCCGGCGCTGAGCATCTGGAATGTGAGCGTAGGCAGCGCAGCCAAACACCCGGAGATGCCCTAATTTGGGGCTGTCCAAACTTGAAACGTGGAACATGTTGGCGAGAGCAGCACTCAACACAGCAGGGGATCTCCTGGCTGCCAACACGTTCCAAGTTTGGACAGCCCCAAATTAGGGTATCTCTGGGTGTTTGTCTGTGTTGCCTACACTCACATTCCAGATGCTCAGCACGAGAAGCTGGATCCCAAGCATGCTGAAGAAGGCAGCGTAAACTGTCCGTTCAGGCGCTCGGCGACCCCATTCTGCTGCAAGGGTGTACTTGCGGTGGATTCTTCGTGGAGGTAAAAGCCTATCGACTCTGTAACTGCCAGCCCAAGAAACTAGTGGCGAGCTGAGATGTGGTGTTTGATGAAGTTAAAAGATCGTTCACTGCTCAGAAACCATGTGGTAATATAAAACGGTGTTGTTATTATTGTTATGACGGTTGATACATCACGTGGCTGCGCGCTGACGTGATCCCATAGAAAGAAACTCGAAGAAAGCTCTAAGAAACAATGTCAACTTGGATGTTGTAATGTGTCCCTCGCGATTGTAGATGTTTACATTTATGGGAGGATCAGTTTCTCCCAAGTTCCAAAGTTCTTCGTGAAAATATCGAAAGCTCTTCGTGCTTGTTCCAGGATGATCGGCTCTCGGTAACACGGCAGCCGGAGATAGAGACATTGCTTGTCCATTCATGGGTTCCATTCCTATCCTCTGGCGCGCATTCATGATCAGCACGGCGTATCTGCTACTGCCTAACTCCAGATTTCATCGCTGGAGATGGCGCGCAGTGAGATTGCGACAGATATTTTCCAGCGGTCTCGGATTTGGAGGAATATGTACTGAAGACGTTATCGGGAGCGTGATGCAGGGATTATTTTCATGCACTTGTTCAGGTTTAATCGAGTGAAGGAAGCGCTGATTTTCGACGCAACAGTGCTGCTCTTTGGTTGAAAGGTTATTGTCGCAATGCTTCGTTCTTTTTGTTCTTTGTTTTCTCTAATTCTTTGGTTTGTAGGTGTGCGAATGATCAACAGAGAAACCACTATTTTCCAAAGCTTATTTCAAATGGTACGTGTGGTGATTGTTTGTCTTGCTTTCTTACATGCTGTTGTTACACAGGATCGTACTGGAACCTTGGAAAAGAACTAAGTATTGACACATTTTTTAACTCCAGGCTACAGACACAGTAGCACTGATTACATTCTTAATGGTATGGTACGACCCCGAGACCCAGATTGTCCCTTTTATCTGTCATAGTTCAGGCTTTCATTAGGTTGAGGAAGTGTTAGGGAGTACTTTCTCTTGCTTTCCTTAGAGAAAGTATTGTTTTGTCTTTCCTTGTTTTCTTTCTTTCGACTAGCTTAAGCAAGCTGTACTGTTTGCAATGTCATGTATGGAATTCTTTTGGACGGCGGGAGGATAAGCTTCGGATGGCGATCTCAACCTACCACCTCCGAATGTCCTTTAAGAGGTTGTTGAAGGCACTTTTTGATTGCGCTTTGTTTAAATGCTCATGGAAGAGGTGCTGGCAATATGCCTGGACAAATACCCTTGATGGAGGTCGCATGAACATCACATCATGCAGGTTTGACGGCTATTTTGTTTTGCTGCTTTTGATACTGTTCACGAGTATGCGTCTACTCGCAAGCAAGGAATCTTTTCGTTTTCAGTTTCGGAAAAGCCACCATGGAGTTTCGACAATTCGAGCTAGTAGAGATGTTGATGGCTCTCCAAGCGGCACGGTTGATGGTTCCAATGCTGGTGCTGCAATGGCGAAAGGGTAAAGTGTTGTGCTGATTGCTCGGCTCTAAAAGTTTTTGTTTTCTTTTCCAAGCGCTACTCAAAGGATGGATTGCAACTGAAAAGACTGCCCGGTAATAGGAGAAGCTAGGAGTGTGGTCCATGTGTCCTTTCGACGAGGGAACGATAAGATTCCCCGTGGGATTCTTAATAACGCGATCAGCATTCTAAAGGTCAGGTTTGTCTTTGTTCGAGATACCCTGTCTTAATTCGTGTGTGGTTTTCGTGACAGTGGCATGGCTACAAAAAACTCGAGAGCATCTTCATTTTTTCATTTTTTCATTTTTTCATTTTTTAGCAGCGATCCATGCTTGGACGTGTTCCAAAAACGTGATACCCGGCGGCCGGTTCCTCCGCGGAACATAATTCTCCGCCTCGACGGTGCTGTAGCTTGGCAAGTGTGGAGCTCCCAACATTTCCACTGCGTAACTGGATCCTGCAAAGTAAGCCTCGGCATTCACAGCTTGGGACTGAGCTAAACTTCGTTCCAGGCCCTCGACGAGAATGGATCGGCGCTCGTAGTGGCCCTTGCCGAGGCCCTCGAGCTCGTCGAGCCTGCGAAGACCAGCTTGGTCTACGAGATAGACTTCGCCGCGGACGCGGTGGCCTTGGCAGGGGAAATTGAGAAGGAAAGGCACCTGGAATGGGCCGCAGACGAGCGGGAATTCGAGCTTGGTGGTGGCGGCGGACACGAAGCAGGCGTGCTGCTGGCTCACGAGCTCCTGCATGAGCCACTCGTTCCCAAATCCTTTCTTGAGCGTCCCATAGACGAAGACGAGGCTGGAGCTACCGAGCGAGGAATCGCTATTGCCCCTGGCAGAGATCTGGAAAGAAGTAGCGCAAATTCCCAGCGCTGGAGGAACTGACGAAGTCGCTGCTAACGCCATTGAGGTTTTTCATCCCTTGGCGTCCATTTATTAAAAGTCTGTGACGTGGCACCTACGTGGATTAAAGAAACAGACAAAGCCACGTGGCAGTTACGTAACACGTGTTTTGGACATAGTTAAGAATAACCATTATTTGACTGAAAAGTAGATGGATAAGAGGAAGAAGCTTTTGCTTGCTACCTTCAGATGCTCTATTACTTGAATATTATGTGTTTAGACATAACTAGTAAAATGTGTTACTTGGCTTGATATTTCCACAATTGCTATAGAAGAAGAGAGGAAAAGTGCAAAAGATACCAATACTTAAAAGAGCCTATGCCACTTGAGATTAGCAAGTGGAACACAACTAGGGGAAATTGCTGGCAAGTATGGAGTTGGGTTTACTATTGGTCAATGAGCATTGAGTTTTGTGGAGCTTTGGACATGGAATTTGGTACATTATACATCAAGTAGCCTTCAAGTGATCGTTTTACAAACTCTTCCAAAAGAGTTTTAAGAGGAATACCACATGTTGTAGGACCAATAGATGGGAGCTATGTTCCAGTGATTGCTCCCAAAGGATCCTCAATAGAACAGGAAGGGATTATACTTGAAAAGTTTAATTTGGGATTTTTATTTTGAATGGGTTTGACTGGACAGTATGTCAAAATTCATTTGGATGCCAACTTGGAAAATACATTCTCGTCAGAGATGCTACATATCCTCCACCACTTTATACAAGAAATTTAAAGATGGATTAAATCGTTGTCAATAACATTGAAATTTAATGAGCTTTCTGAACAAGGTAATATATTGTTAATTAATTTAAAGCGTTTTAACTAGCTCCTTTTTCATAGGACATGTGTGCCGACGTGGACATAATTAAGTAGTTTACGTTGTAACTGATGCGCTTTGAATGCTACCCTGGAAACGAAAGAAACAAATCGAGAATATAGCTAAACTAGAAAAGAATCGATGAAATGAAACTTACTCGTCTTGTTCTTGAGCGGCAGCGATGGCTGTCCGGGGCATCGCCGCATCAGGAACTTGAAAACCTGGCATCCATTCGCTCCCTCGGTCTTGTGGCAGCGCACAGCGTCGTAGAGGCCATCGTAGCGGTACTCCTTCCTGGACGGGGTGAAAGCCGAGGGCCTCCCGCGGATCACGCGAACCGGGATGTTGAGATCCACGGAGTTCGCGAGAGCTAAGTTGCCGCGAGTGAGCTCCTGGTCCCGTGCCTTCTCGTCACGCACGCTCACAGCATTGTTGCCGCCGCTGCCGCAGTACTCAAACTCGTCGCCGTTGTCGCGGTTGTCCTTGTAGCCACCCGAGAGGATGATGCTGGTGGCGATGGCGCGGCCGAGCGGGCTCTGGGAGTCGGGGAAGAAGCCGATCCCGGCCTGGACGTGGTTGTGGAGGCCGACGATGAGCAGCTCGGCGCGGAAGGAGAAGGCGTCGAACACCTCCACGCCGGGGACGTGGCCGTGGGATCGGTGCTCCTGGTTCACCCATTGCTTCTGCGAAGGAAAACGATGGTGGATGAGAAACTTTGGAAGAACTACACAAAAGCTGGCCAAGAAGAAACTCCTGAGAAAGTACGAGAAACTGAAGTGGAAGAAGATCATTGCGATGGGAAGAAAAAAAGGCTAAGACTGTTCGATCGACGAGCATGCGAAACAAAGCAGCAAAAAAGAATGCCGGCAAGAAGAACACGAGGAGAAGAGAGAAAAGGCGGAGGAAGAAAGTGTGGGATAGAATGGAAATCTATCACGAATGGTGGATGAGAGAAACTTGGAAGAACTATGTACAAGAGCGAGAAAGAAGAAATCCATCCGTGAGAAAGTCCGAGAAACCGAAGTAAGATGACGATGGGAAGGAAATAACACTGTTTGATTGGCGAAGAGAGCATACGAAACAAAGCAGCAGTGAGATCCAAAAGAATGCCGGCAAGAAGAACACGGGGAGATAGAATGGAAATCGAGGAGAAAAGGGAAAGGAACTTACATCGATGCGCATTTGCTTCATCGCGGCTGTGTCCGGTCGCACGGTGCCCTTCGCCTCGAGTTTCTGGCGCAGCGCCTCGAATCTCTCCTGCGCTTGCTTCACTCGCCGCCGCGCCTCCTGCCATGACTGCCGCAGGATGATCGAAAGCTCCATTCTTGGCTGTGGCACTGGCTCGGATTTCTTCTTCTTGGTCCTGGCCATATCCATCTCGAGCATCATCAGGCTCGTCGGCTTGGGGCGCTCATTCCGTCCTCCTCGCTCTGGCGCTAGGCGTTTGTTCTCCTCCTCCGGATCCTTGTGCCGTGGCGATTCCTCCTTGATCTTCCGCTGCTGCGGCCACCGCCGGACGGCGATCGGCAGCGCCGGCTCCACCAATTTTGCCGCTTCTTGCCCACGGGATTTCTCCTCGCCGCCGCCGCCGCTCGAATTGAGCTGCAATGATCGATCGCCGGATGAGGCAAACCCGCGCGCAAATATCAACGACAACGATCAAGAACTCTACCTCGCCGGATTTTGGATCGCCTCCTTCGCGAAGCCTCTTCCTCGGCCAGGAGCGATGCGCGATCGGCCGCATGCCTACATTGCTCTCCATCGCTTTGCCCAAAACCTAAGCTCGCCTCACCTGGCCGTACAAGTCACCAACGATCATGTGTACGAACGTCATTTTTTCATGTTGGAACTATGGAGGGAAATTCATTCACTTCCCATTAAAAAAATTTGACACGTGTTTGAGGTTAAAATCGCGTGACACGTAGTGACAGAGAGCTGACCTAGGTTTCTCCAGCGCTATGGCGAGCTCGAGGTCGGTTCTTCTCATCTGCGGCGATTTCGTGGAAGACTATGAGGTGAGTTTGATTGATCGGGCGCGGCGATGGATAGAGGAGTGATCTAGTGCCGAGAGAATGTAGGCAATCATCTAGATTTGGCAAGTTTTTCCTTAGGCAAGAGCATTGACTTTCGATTTGTTTGTTCTTCTAAGGTTATGGTTCCATTTCAAGCCTTGCAAGCTTATGGTGTCAAAGTCGATGCTGTTTGTCCGGGAAAAAAGGCTGGCGAGAGCTGCGCGACCGCAATCCACGACTTTGTTGGTTTCCAGGTGAATGAATTCCTTCTTTTGGACTGGGAGCGTGGAGTGGATTATTTTTGGCTTGTGTTCTTCATGGCAGACTTATGCCGAGCTTCGTGGTCACAACTTTAGTCTCAACAAGGACTTTCATGGCGTGAAAGCTGAGAGCTATGACGCTCTCGTTATTCCAGGTGGTCGTGCTCCGGAGTACTTGTCTCTTGACGATGAAGTTCTCGAGATTGTCAAGTCGTTCCACAAGTCTAGGAAGCCGATAGCATCGATTTGCCACGGACAGCTGATCCTCGCCGCGGCAGGAATTCTGCAAGGCAAGAAGTCGACGGCGTATCCGGCAGTCAAGCCTGTTATTGTCAGTGCTGGTGGAGTTTGGCAAGAGCCGAATCCAATCTCCAAGTGCTTCCGAGATGGTAGCCTCATCACCGGTGCTGCATATCCTGGCCACCCGGAGTTTATTGGTCTTTTGCTCGACTCTCTTGGTGCAACCATCGAAAACGGCAAGAAGAAAGTATTAATGCTATGCGGGGTAAGAAGTCTTTCTCTCTTTCTTTTCTACTTCTTCCGGTTTTTTCTACTAGTTTTCCTTGACAACTTGATCGAGAAGTAGTTTTCCTTGCAGTTGTGCTTTGATCATGTTCTAAGCCAAGTTTGTTTTTGCTTTGAAGGATTTCATGGAGGACTACGAAGCAATGGTGCCATGCCAGACGCTGCAAGCTGTTGGCTACACCGTCGACTCGGTGTGCCCGGGTAAAAAGGCCGGCGAGACCGTGGCCACCGCAGTTCATGACTTTGAGGGAGCGCAAACTTACAGCGAGAAGCCTGGTCACAACTTCCCGCTGACCGCCACCTTCGACGCTGTCAAAGCTGAGGGGTACGACGCGCTTGTGATCCCCGGAGGCCGCGCTCCAGAGTACTTGTCTCTCAACGACAAAGTCCTGAGGCTTGTCCGGGAGTTTGACACGAGCAGCAAGCCCATCGCGTCGATTTGTCACGGGCAGCAAATCCTCGCTGCAGCAGGAGTTTTACAGGTGAATGATATATCTTTCTTGAGTTTGCTTCGATTAAACACAGAGCTCGTTTGGTTTCTACTGCAGGGAAAGAAATGCACGGCTTATCCAGCAGTGAAGCCTCAAGTTGTGCTAAGTGGTGCTGAGTGGATCGAGCCGGATCCAATAACGATGGCTCACACACATGGCAAACTTGTCACCGCTGCTGCCTGGCCCGCGCATCCAGAGTTCGTAGCTCAGTTGCTCTCTCTTCTCGGGACCACTATCCACTTCAAGTAAAAGCAAGTAAGCCGAGCTTTTCCTGTTTTCCTTGAGACAGAGTTGGAGATTTCGTCTACCTCTCCGTGTTGATCGGGTCAGTGTTTGATCCAAGTCCGATCCGGTCTGGAAGAATGACAGTCCATTTGGTGTTTGATCTTCTCGTCGTCTAAGTCTTTCCTGGGCCTTGTTGACGCAGGAGTAAAGCTTTAGCGAAAGAATGATGGAATGATATTTATATCCTTGTGGGAACATTATAGTTCTGGAACTAGAAGACACGATTTGGAAACGTTCAATGGTTTTTTTTTTTTTGTGTTCTGGGACGTGCGTGATTTTTGATTTTGTATCTATTACATCACGACAAAACGATCAGATACAAGCACAAAAGATTAAAAAATGCCCGTGGCGCGGTGCCGGCCGTTGGATCCATAGACAACCGAGGTGAAATCTGGCCGTCGGATAAGTCTGTTCTTTCAAAATTACTATTAAGCCCTAAAACAGGGGAGAGGGAAGAGCACGGCTATGGCGGACAAGCCTAGGGCGAATGGCGCGTCGTCGTCCTCCATGCGCGAACTCGTCTCGCCGCTCGCGATCAAGCTCCAGCAAGTGTGGCTACAGACGCAGTTCCGCCCGTCGAGAGATTCCAATGCAGCAGTGGATTTGCCGCTGCCGTCGCCTGGCGGAGCGGCTGGATCGGTCGGCGATGTTGGAAATTTCTCGCCGTCGCCACCGACGCTCACCTCTCCCGTCAACGCCGCGGCCATGGCAGTGGCGGGCACTCCGTCGTCATCCTCGGAGAGTGGCGATGATAGCTGGGGTTGCGTCGCGATGGAACCCCGCGTGTCTGGGGTCGACGAGAATGCGGTGCTGCAGTACATCGATAGCATGCTCATGGAGAACCAGATCGGGGAGCAAGCGTGCCTGGATCTGGAGGTGAGCGTCGGCGCGCTCCAGGCAGAGCTCGCGGAGCTGATCCAGACCTCGCCGCCCGAGGTAAGCCCGAATCTCGACTGGAGGAGCGATATTTCGAGCAGCGCCGGCTATGGTGCCTCGCAGCCATCGCCGTCGCAGCTTCCACCGGCCCCGCAGGGATCATCGTCGCGAAGGAACTCCCCCTCCTCGCTCCTGGGTTCTTGGACATCGCAGCCTTCCTTCGCCGTGGATAATCCTTCTACTTCGTCCTTGCATCACCACCAAGAAAACACTGTGGAGAGGAATCGAGAGAGCTTGCAGCCATCGCCCAGCCTTAAGAAGCGGAGCCACGGGGAGACGAGCGCCAGTGGCAGCGGCTTCCAGATGGTGGGATTTTTCGAGCGCCAGAACCTCTTTGGGCTGGATTGGAACGGCAGGTCGAATGGAATTGCAGCAGCGGGGGCGACGACGCAGGGATTTCCCAACCGGCCTCCCAGGCTGATCGTACAGAGGAGCGAGAACTACACTCGGCTGTGGGATAGAATGGGGCTCAGGAGTCATCTCCTGGACAAGCTGGTGCTGTGCGGCGAGGCGGTGTGGAGCGACGACTTCGGCAGCGCTTTGGCGATCATGGAGGAGCTCCGGGAGCAAGCCGGACCCGAGGGCGACGCGACGCAGCGGGTAGTTCATTACTTCCTACATGCATTGAACGCCCGGATGAGCAACACGGGCTCCAGGTTCTACAGCGTCATGTGTAAGGCGCGGCCTTCCATCGCTGAGACGCTCAAGGCGGTCCAGATGATCCTCAAGCACACCCCCTTCCTCGGGCTGCCACATTTCTTCACGAACCAGATCATCCTCGAGGCCATCAAGGGCGAGCGCAAAGTACACATTGTCGACTTTGGGATCATGTATGGGCTCCAGTGGCCGGCGCTGCTCCAGCTCTTGGCGGAGAGGAAGGAGGGTCCCCCGCAGCTCCGGATCACGGGGGTGGATCTTCCACCCAGAGCGCTCAACAATCACTCGGGGAGGATACGAGAGACGGGGAGCCGGCTCAAGCGCTGCGCACAGGACTGGGGGATTCCTTTCAAGTTCCGGTCGCTCTCGTGTGCATGGGAGAGCATGGAGCCGGGGCTGCTGCAGCTCAAGGACGACGAAGTTCTCATCATCAGCTGCTCGTTCAAGCAGACCAACTTGTTTGATGGGTCGGTGATCGCCGAGAGCCCGAAACTCCAGTGGCTGACCCGGATCCGGAACCTCCACCCGAAGGTTTTCATCCAGTCGCTGGCCAGCTCCAACTTTGCGGGGCCGATCTTCCTCCAGAGGTTCCAGGAGGCGCTCGTCCACCACGCGGCAGTGTTCGCGGCCATGGACGCTTGCATCTCGAGGATGCTGCCCGAACGGCGGGTGATCGAGCAGGACAAGTACGGGCGGGAGATCATGAACATCATCGCCTGCGAGGGGTTGGACAGGGTGGAGCGGTCCGAGACGCACCAGCAGTGGCACCACCTCGCGGTCAAGGCGGGGCTTGAGGTGATGCCGCTCAGCCCGGCCCTGTTCGAGGAGTCGAAAGCTTTCGCCAGGTTCTACAACAGGGATCTCACAGTGAACAGGGACGGGGAATGGATGTGGCTGGGATGGAGAGACCAGATCATCCATGCGTACTCTGCATGGCGTGCGGCAACGTGAGCGCATGATTGAATTTCAAAGGTACTTCTCTATCTCTACTTTTATTACTTCCTCGCTCCCTCCTTCCTCCAGCTTTGCGTCTCGAGTCACTTTCGGAAGCCATTCGGCTGACTTTGTTTCAGTAACTTGCAGCTCGGTCCATTACGGGGTGGCTCGCTGTTGCTGGAATCGATCGTTCACGCGTCCGCTAGCACGGGAGGCACGCATTGTTCGCTGGATGGTCAAGATTTGGATCCCCCCCGTAAGTGTTCAGTGTGAAAGGTTGGAGTTCCAGAAAGCGAGGGGGGGGGGAGGAAAGAAAGACTTTCTTTCCTTGGGAGCGATGCTGGATTAGTGTAATTGTCATGCTGTGGTGGGGTGTATAGTTGTTCGCTGCTTGTTTCTTTTTTTTTTTCTTCTTTCTATTCCTTTTGGTTTTTTCTTTCTCGACTATCAATGGCTCCGCAAGCAAAGAAGATGTTGGGGCCAGAGAAGAGATATATATATATGTACCTCCATTCTTTTTAACTTCATGGTCTAACACATCTTGTGCAATTATTTAGCGAAGATAACTCACGTTGGAACAAGTGGTGGCCGACAGCATCTGTCAACATCAAAGATGATGGTGTTACTTGTACGGGTAAGTTTATGATCTCCCGCAAGGAACCAGTTGCTCGTTTTTCCTGATCTCCACGCTCTTGTTCCAGGAATCACTGGCTAAACAAACAGCTCTAGACAACGACGATACAAACAAGCAGAGGGAAGTGCATTTTTGCAAACAGTGTCGGCAGGATTAAAGCAAGCAATCAGATGATTTAATCAACAAGGAAGAGCGCAGTTGCTGGAATCGCGCCTCGAGTTCTCAAAAGGTTCGCTATGTTCCTCTTTTGTTTATGACAGCGTTGCTCAGCTACTTGCTCTGTAGAGTGTGTAGCGCTCCTTTTGCGGGGCCATGGAGTGATGGTGTGCGCCACTAAACAAATCATTGATGCACAACACAAGTGGGTCAATGGATCGAGTCAACAGTGAGCCCAAGGTAGAAAAGCTTTACCGCTCTTGTGTTCGTTCTTTGACTTGACGATAGAAAAACGTTTCAGGCTGCTGTTCGTTTTTTGACTTTGACAATACTGTGTGTTAGAAAAGGTGAAAGAAGTTTCAACATGTCAAATCGCGAAGGGCGGCATTTTGGCCACGAGAGAGAAAAAATATTCTCTGTGTCCCTCGTGATTTCGGCACTCGCTCTGGCATCGCCGCATACAAACATCGTTCCAATTGGGGACGTGATGCTGCGTAGAACAAGCGGATCGAGCGCACGCCTCGGCGCAAGCATCCAATCCGAGACCCCACACTCAGTGCGTCACATCCTTTGCAAAGCTGCCCACTCGCTTCATCATCCGATCCGACGCGCACACGCGCTTGCAAGCGAATCGATCCCGCAGGGAATCCAAATCCTGCGCGACGCCGCCACCGGATCACCACGAGCCCTCATCCTATCCGCGCAACAAAGCATAGAACCCGTTCGTTTGATCATGTCAGGAAAAAATACTATGTTGAACAAAGTCGTGTTTATTCCTTGACTTGGTTGACCGAAGTTTCAGGCTCCTCGCCGGTCTTGTGTTCGTTCTTTGACTTTACGAACTTTCCACAAGAAACCATGGGACGGAATGTTTGAATTTGAATGGGACGGAATCTTTGGATTTGCAAGGTGGCGAACTGTTTGTAGAAATGAAACGAAAGAGGCCAGATACTGTTCTGGAAGAAGGTAAAATCTCCCAACTTTTGTGGCTCACAAACCGTTGACGACTTAAGTGTCTCTTATTTTATTTTATTTTATTTTCCTTTGCAGTGAAGTACGATGGCGTGTCCCCTGATTTAATTGAAAGGTCACTGGCCACAAAGACGAGCAAGAAAGAATACGACACGACAGAAGAGGTAGAGACACCTTTTGGCTGTACACAAACTATATCAACAACAGTGGCCGAGAAGGAGTGAGCACCAACGCGTACGTAGACTTTCGCTTGTCTCGCTGGACTTGCTCTAGCCTATCCTTCACGATCTCCCCGGGAGGATCTGCAACTCCAGCGCAGCGTCCACCGCAGCATCTGCCACCTGCGGCAAGCTTGACTTTCGGAGGCGCAGCACCACGTTTTCCAGCGACGTGACGGCCGCTGCCGGCCACGCCGACGCGCTCCTCCTGCCGCTGGAATCGCCCAGGCGTTGCTCCTTGCACGCCAGCGTGAGCGCCTGGAGGAGCCGCCGCTGGAGCAGCGACAGCAGCGCCGAGCCGTGACCTCCGCTGGTGGACCTCTCCAGCACCTTGGCCAGCTCCTGGAGGCTGGAAAGGACGGACGGCGCCGCCAGCCCCGGCGCGGCCTTCACCGCCAGTATCAGGCACTCGGACGCGGTCTCGGCGATCCGGGGCTCCGGATTGCCGCACAGGTCCACGAACAGCCCCGCTCGCGCGCTGAATCCCCCGACGTCTTCCAGCTGAGAAGGCAGCTCCTCCACTTTGAAACCGTTGTTGGTGGCGCTGCTTCCACTGCTCTTGAGCTTCCCCGCGTTCCGGATGAGCAGCAGCCGGCAAACGGATAGCGTGGGATCCAGAAAGTCCTGCATCCCCTTGAGGTGAACGAACTCCAGGAGCGCGACCAACCTGCTCACTACATGCAGCTCGGAGATCACTGCGGTTTCCACCTCCTGCGACGATACCAGGAAGAGGCAGAGCCGGACGTTGTGGAGGTTGACGGTGGCGAGGTCCTCCTTGAGGAACTCGAAAAACTGGGAGACGATCTTGAGCTGGAGAATGTCGTTGATGTCGATGCATCTGAGGTCCAGGAGCATCACCAGCAGCTTCTGGGCGTACATCGGGATCGGGTCTTCGTCGTCCAGCAGCACGGGGTACAGTGGCAGGAAATACTGCTTGATGATCAGCCTCATCTGGTCCTGTCTCGTGCCGCTCGACTGCTCCGCCATGTCGTCCATGATGACGAGAAGAATGTCGCAGAAGACCTTGAGGCACAGGAATCGCGTATCTCCGCAGGTGTTTCTCCTGTAGAGATTTGCCAGGCTTGGAAGCACTTGCGTTATGAAGATCTCCTGGTGCGCCAGGAGGATACTCGGCTGCTGTGATATTGACTCTATTATTCGCAGCAGTGTCGTTTGAAAGTCATCCTGGCCCTGTGCAGAAGAAAGCCACGTAAACGAGAAAATCAAATCACAATCAGTACCTGACTCGTTGCTGCTTCCATCCGTTTCAGAAAGGTGGCCAGCTGCTGTAAGACTTGCGCGTTGACAATCCTGTCCCGAAACGTCAAGCTCCGAAACAGATGTAGTACGACTGGGAAGAGCGGCATGGAGCCTCGAGGCTGACTCCGTCCCAGAGTTGCATGCTGAGTCGTGGTGGCCGAGCTTGGCCGCTTGCTGTTTGCTGACTGCTGGAAATCGGCACCGATGCTGTCAAGGATGCCCGGAACTAGCGAGACCACGATCTGTATGAGCGCGTCAACGCACTGTTGGACATAAGCATCCTTTTCCTTCGTCAGTCTCTCCACGGCTGGCACAATTTTAGCGTTGCAGAATGACAGCATCCACCTGCGGTTGATCTTGCACAGCAAAGCGGCGCAAACGAACGCCTTGCCGCGAAGAACTTCCGGACCCTGTTCCAAGATGGCCATGATGTTGGGAATCAGAGCCTTCTCGTCGAAGAGCACCTGCAAGTGCCTGCTGGCATTGTTCATCACGCTAGATCCGACTAGCGCAATGTTCAGGAGGTTGATGTAGACCTGCTGAAGCTTTGCACCTCCTTTGCATAAACCAGCGATCAGCTCTTTAAAGGTCACCTTTTCCAGAACCACAGCGACGCTTGAAGGGCTGAAACGGACCAACCGCACCAAGCAAGACCCTGCTGTTGATCGAACAACTTCTTGTTTGGATGAAGTCTTCATTATATAGCAAAGATTCCCCAGCACGTCATGAGTGGTGAAACGGGCCGCCCACTCTCCTCCTTGACTTGAAATGTTCTCAATCGCTTTCAGAGCGTAATGCTGAGTGACATCATCTTCGCCCTTCCGGAGAATAGATGCCACAAGAGCTATCGTCGTACTGGGAACCTGATAGGAGAATAACAGAAAATCAAAACTTGAACGTATGTAATGCTCAGAGGACGAACCTGCCAAACAGAAGATCTTCCTTCCTTTGGTACGTTGTCGTGACCAGCCCCAGATCTTGGAGACCCTCCGTTTTGAGTTGCAATATAGAATAACAGTTCGCCAAGTGATGCCATGGCACAACGGCGCACTTTTTCCTGCTTGTCCCTTAAAGTTTCCGTTAGAACCGCAATGATACCTGAGCTCGCAAGGTCGTCTTCAATCAGTGTTGCATGTCGAACGAGAAGGCCAATAACGGACGTAAGTTGCACTCGCAATGCCGGTAGCTTCGTTGTTCGCAGTAGCTTGACAAGTGAGTGCATCAGAACTCCGTTGATAAACACGTTCGCAGCATCCATGCTAACACAGATAGTCTCCAGATACTTGAGCGTGTTCATCTTCTCGTTGACAGATGTATTCCCACATATACTGCTCATTATCCGAGTCACAAACGCTTCCAGTTCGTCGGGTTGTAGCTTCAAAAACTCTGACGACGAGAGCGAATCCACTGGCAGCGTTTTCCCATCGAAACGGACGTCAGCTGCCTGGTCAGCCTTGCGGTTCTGCATAATTGGCCTCACAGCAAGGTCGGACGGATGCCAGAGAGCCTGAGATAACGTGATTGAAGCCTTTGGATGATCCTCAGCTTTGGAGACAGCCGGTTTCTTCTTCTCTCCCGTTAAAGCAGCAATCCTCTGAGCTTTCCTCGGTATTCCAACACCAGGGGGCGTAGCAGCAACCTCCATTCTTAAAGCCTCCAAACGAACTTCTTCCACGTTTTTATCATAATCCAGCTCCTTGCCGTTGCTATCCGCTCCATCTTCGTGAACGCTTTCGTCATGTGTTGTAGCTTCCGCAGCGCTGACACTTTCGTCATCCTCGGTTTCTCCATCGGTGTCCGGACGCTCCGCAAAGTCGAGTTCCTGGTCATGGTTTTCCAGCGTCAGATCTGAATCGTTTGTAGCTGCCCCAGCATTTTGCTGCCGGTATGAATCCCCTTCGGCCTCTCTTTGCAAATTCGTCTTCACTATCTTCGACAGTCTTAAGACGTTGACAACAGCATTGGCTCGTCCTGAAGCTTCCGTCAACGGCCCTGAAGATGCTGGACGTCTCCCTGGAGGCGTTTTTCCATTGGCGATAGTTTCCCCTTTGTCTGTTGTCTTGTGCAAGTACTCGTGCTTCTTGATTGTTGCCGGCTGCTGCTTTGGACCCGATCCACCATTCCGTGACTTTTCTGTTATATCCTGTGGTTCTGAAGTCTTTTTCGAATCCAGATACTTCAGAAAAGCTGGTTGTGACGGTAACACCAAAGGCTTGATTTTTTTCCTCCAAAACGAATGATCCCGTACCTCCGACCACTTCATTCTTTCCGCAGGATCTTTCACAAGGAGCCGGCTCAGAAGATCCTCGAAGTCCTTATTCGTTGACGCAGATAACGCTGGGGCTGGGTCATGGAGAATAGACTCCACCAACTGTGTGAAGCTCGTGGAAACGAATGGCGGCTTTCCGGCATAACACTCGTACATGACGCAGCCAAGAGCCCATAAATCAGATGAAAAAGAATGAACACCTCCCTGAAAAAGCTCTGGGGCCATGTAACATGGTGTGCCTCTCTTGGCTTGCGGCAGCTGACATAAAAAGAATTGCGTTTCACATCAACAAGAATGTTCAACGAAAAGTACCTGTTGAACAGTGTTCTTTGAAATGTCAGCGAGTCGTCGAGCCAAACCAAAATCGCACAGCTGCAAAAGAAGAGTCAAAAAGTGCCCAAACGACCAAAATGCATGTATGTCTGACCTTGATGCGGCCATTCTCATCAAGCAGTAAGTTCGAAGGCTTAAGGTCACAGTAAACTATTCCCTTTGAATGCAGAAACCTACAAGGAGGTATTAGTCAAGGAGAATATATACAAGCACAACTTAACTGTAGCGCTTCCACTAAATCACGGGCAAAATCGTGAACCGACTCTTCAGGCAGTCTAGTATCCTGCAAGACAGATCATAGAGCTGGGTAAACTGTGAACCGTTCCGTTTCCATGCATAAAAGCCAAATCTATGCCCACCTGTTTGAGCAGCGTCAAAAGATCGCCTCCAACGCAATACTCTAAAACCAGCCACAAGTGAGCAGAAGTCTCATACCTGGAAAGGAGACAGAACGAGAAGAACGAAACTAGATCAGAAAGAAAAATGGAAGAGCACCTCATTACCACGCATAGAACTTCAAAACGTTTGGATGATCCAAGGAATGAAGCGTTCGAACCTGGCACACAAAGGTTATTATAGTCTATACAGTGCAAATCCCACGTTTTATAGACACGGCCACTTACTTCTTGGAGGACTTTGTTCTTCTGGCTCTTCTCCACGCTCTTGATGGCGTAGTACTCGATCGACTTCTTCTTGCGGCCCTTGTACACAGTCTGCCATCGCGGCGCCCACGGTGAGAAGAAGCAGCATTCTTGGAAACCCTAAAGCTCGGGCAAGGAGGCTACTCACCGAATGCTTGCCCCGGCCGATTGCTTCGTAGATGTGGTACTGATTCATGCTACCCGCGCCGAAATGCCGGATGCTAGGACACCATCGCAGGATCCGCTCGCGCTGGAATGCATTGCCGCCTCGATCCGATCGATGGCAGCTCCCACGCCCCGGGCGCAAAAACCCTTGCCGCTACCCAAACAATTTCAAACACACTATCGTAAAAACTTTCAACGGATATTCCGGTATGTACCCCACAAGGTAACGGATCGATTCCCAGGGCAGCTTTTAAAGCCTCCCTGATTAAGTTAGTCGGACTGGATAAACACATTCTAGCCTACACGCTAATGGATCTGCAGCTTCGTTTGCTTCATTGATGGCTTCTTCGTTGATTTCGAGGACCTGAGACAAAAGAAAGAAGAAAAATTCGTATGACAAAGACGGATCGAACTTCTCGAGTTTAAAAGAGAACCTTCTTCTAGAGCTTTGACGAACGTATTTCACGACCTCGTTGAGAGGCTGGACCTGTAGAAGCCAATCAAACCAAAACTCTCGCGAGGAAAAAGTAGAACCTGTGTGATCCACTCGTGTTTTAGCAACTGCTGAGGAGTCATGCGTTGTTCTTTGTCCCACTTCAAGCAGCATGACAAGAAGTTTACGAAGCTTTTGTCACTGCATCCGACAACCATCCTGAGATCTTTCGTGCTTGGGAAGTGCCTCGTGCCGGATGAGTTTGGAACGATCCTCGGCTTGTTGTCGGAATCTACGCAGGCAAATAGAACTCCTAGAAGCCAAGAGACACAAAAGAACTACTTTTACCGAAAAACATCTTCTTGCGTTTTGCTTGACTGATGAGGGATAGCGGCGGGGTCCCGAGAACTTCCATCATGTAAGCAAGCTGTTCCACTTCGTCCTCCCCAGGAAACAAAGGATATCCTGAATACATGTCGAGTGGATATTTGAAACATTTTGAGAAATTGAATGGTTTACCTGTGAACAACTCGGCAAGAATGCAAGCGAAGCTCCACACGTCAATCATCATGTCATACGGCAATCCTGGAATCACCATACATTTCCCGTAAGCAGCGTTTTAAACTGCAAAAATCTGGGTCTGGTCGATACCAAGGATGACTTCCGGAGCGCGATAGAATCTACTCTGTATGTAAGTATAAACTGCAAAAAAGAAAAACAAAACAAGAGTAGAAATCAGACGTAGTAGCAAAACAGGAGCTTACTTCGTTCGTGCTCGAAACAACTGGATCCAAAATCAATTAGCTTGATTTTCGGAGAAGCAGGTTGTTGAAGTAGTATGTTCTCCGGCTTCAAATCGCCGTGGATAATACGCGCTCTGTGCAAAAACTGGAGCGACACAAGTACTTGTCTGGCAAAGCACTTGACAAGGCTCAAGTTGAACCCTTCGAAATGGTTCTTCTTGAGCATGTCGAACAGGCTGATGTCATGCACTGCAAAAGACAGACATAGATGCCCCCGAAATTCGAAGCTTTCGTAGATCGTCACAATGTTGTAATCTACTCCTTCTTCTGCAGCCTGCAAAGACCTTTCAACCAGCAAAGGAAGTATTTTACGCTTTCACTGATTTAAAAATCCCGACTTGTATGTTAAAACAATTAATCTCACCTTGTTTCTCAGGAACTCCAACAGATTAATCTCAATGAAGGCCTGCTGGGTGAACTGCTTCTTGTTGCGAATGATTTTAATGGCTCGCGGAACTTTGTACTTGTGATCTGTGCACTTCAACACCTGGCCAAAGCTGCCTCTGCCAAGCTTCCCAAGAATTTCATATCGGTAAGCGATATGGTCCTGCATGATGGCATTGTAGTCTCCCTTCTCAGTATCAAAACCTGTAAGAGCATGAAAACATGAGTATTTCAAATCAAGCAAATTTACCATAATTGTATCGCCCCTGCCCTCCGACAACTTGAATCTTCTTCTGTGGTAAACCGATATAGTAAATTTCAGGATATTTCAAAATTTCCTGCTTTTCGAAGTCCGTCAGGGAGCTTGGATACTGTTTCAGAACCGCTGAACGCACAAAACAATTAAGCCATGTTGAATAATAAACGATAGTTTTACCTTCCGGAGTCATAAAAGTTTCCCAATCTTTCGATGGAGTTTGCACAACAGTTTGCGGGATGGCTACATCGGCATACGCGCTTCTATCCGTTTGTGCCATCCTTGGCGTAGGCTCAACAACCACCTGACAGAGCAGGAGCAAACTGGTAAGAAGATAGTGAACATAATCAAGTGTACAACTTTGGAAGGCCTTGAAGTTTGAGGAGACTCTGCTGGTTCACCTCCAAAACCTGTAAAGCAATGTCGTGGGCGATATATTGGAAGCTAATGGGAAAGCAAAGTACCTATGGGAACGGAACTCTTGGTTGCGTCCGGAAGTTTCAAAGGCTTCAAAACCGATTGCTTTGGAGCAGCTTTTGTTGTCGCCTTCTCCGAAACCCTGCAAAACGAAGACATTAGAAAATGTTTTTTCTACTTGCTACCATTACCTTGAGCTTTTGTGTGACATTTTTTTCACAGCATCCTTCGTTTCCGTAAACTTAAGCGCCTGTTTCCTCGGCGTGGCGTCACGCTGTTGCTCTTGACCCTCTGAAGCTAGCAAGCATGGAACTGTCAGGTCACGAGCACTGGCTATATCCTTCGTCTCGGCTGCCTGGGCGGGGGATGTCGCTTCTTCATAAGCCTCGGGCGGATTTAAAATCTCGTCCACCTTCCTGTCGTCAACCTCAGCCAAAATCCTTCGATCGACGTGAACTATCGGAGCATAGTTCAATGCCTGAAGAATCATTTGCTGTTGGTACGGCCTGAGCTGTTCTCCAAGAAACTTCTCCTGATGCCTCTCAGCATAGCTATCCTGCTTCTTCTTTCGCTTGGTAACGTCATTCTCGAACACTATGTCGATTTTCCTGGGCGTCCTCAGCGTCATGCTCTCAAGCTGTGCGTCGGTCTTGCGCTGCTGCAAAGCGGTACAAGCGAGCGAATGCTCCCTCCTCCCACTGTAAGACGACGTATCACGCCGGGAAGACCCGTGTTTTTTATCCAGCCCCTTCTTCACCTTGGAGAGATTGAGAGATGGGAGAGCCTTGCTGCGCTTGGACGAGGCCTGATCGCCACCACCACCGGCATTCTTCTTTTCCTTGTCCTTCTTGCTCTTGCCCTGCTTTCCAAGTCCTTGCATGAGGCTCTCGATCAGATCGGCATGGAAGTAGGAAAGAAAGCCCGGCTTGATCTCTACTGTGTCCTTGAGAACCATTCTCGCTCGCTTCCACCACTGCTACTTCATCCCCAGCGCTTTCTCATCAATGTACCTTCTGATGGACTAGCCCAGACCATCGCCTCGCCTCGCGCCACGCTATCTCCAAGTCAAAAAAAGCGCGATGCCCTAAGAATATCCCCCGGGAATCTCCCGCCATATTTCGAAATGCCGCCTGGCGGTATCTGCGCGATCCAGTGGAGAGAATTGCGATGCTCACCGATTTCGAGGCCTGTGACCGATTGGTGCGATCGTGTACCGATGCCGCGAGCTGCGATCTCGCGCGCCGCCACATCCTCCACTGCGGCTATGGCGGAAATCTACACCTCGCCAATCTCCTGCTCCAGATCCACGGCCAGTGCCGCGATCTGCCCGGCGCCCGCCGCGTCTTCGCGTCCATCCAACGCCCTAATCCCCTCTCCTGGAACATCATGCTCGATCTGTGCGCCAAGAATGGATCGCTCCAAGAAGTGCTCGAAATCTTCGACGCGATGCCGCGCAAGACCACCGCCTCGTGGAACATCCTCGTCGCCGCGATCGCGCAGCTAGGGCGCATCGATCTTGCTGCCGCGGCCTTCGAATCCGTGCCATACCCTGACGTGATCTCCTGGAACACGATAATCACAGCTTACACCTCCATTGGACTGCTAGGCCACGCCCGCCGCTACTACGAGGCAATGCCCGAGAGGAATCTAGTATCCTCGAATGCGATGATTGCGGCATATTCCGGGGCCGGGCATCTGGACGACGCAAAGCGAATCTTTGACAGCATGACGCAGAAGAATATTGTGTCATGGACGTCGATGCTTACGGCATATACCCATGGTAGGCATCTACGAGATGCTCGCCGCGTGTTTGATTCTATGCCGGAGTGGAACGTCGTGGCATGGTGTGCTATGATCACGGCTTATTTCCAATCAGGATCTCTGGAGAGTTCATGGGAATTTTTTAGGGATATTCCAGAGCCTAACATTGTTGCCTGGAATGCAATAATCTCAGCCGTTGCAATGAGTGGAGATTTGGATCAAGCGTCAGAAATGTTTAAGAAAATCCCCCAGCGTAATATCGTGACGTGGACAGTGTTACTTGTGGCATATGCCCAGGCAGGGTATGTGGAGGAGGCCAAGTATGTGTTTGATAGGACGCCCGAAAGGAATCTGGAAATGTGGACCGGGCTAGCAATGGCTTATGCCCTCACTGGGCATACTGAGAGTCTCCGAGCGCTTGTAGTGAGCCTTCCATTTTGTAATGTGGTATCTGACACAGCCCTTCTATGGGCGTATTCACAGCTTGGGAATATCCAAGCAGCAAAAGAAGTGTTTGATCAAATGTGCGAAAGGAACGAGATTACGTGGAACTCTATGATCGCTGCTTATGCCCAGACTGGGCATCTTTCAAAGGCACGGAGCTTGTTTGATGTGAGCGATGGTCGAAGATCTAACCTTGTGAGCTGCACGACTATCATACAAGCTTATGTCTGCTGTGGATATGCGAAGGAATCTCTCTCGCTGTTGTTTGATGCCATTGTGGAAGGGATCGAGCTCGATTCCATCGTGTTTGTGAGCGCTCTCGTGGCGTGGGGCCTTTGCGGATCTATCTACAAAGCCATGAAGTGCTTCGTTTCAATGCAACAGGACTATGGCGTTGATGCTAGTGCCCAACACTGGCATTGCATCGTGGATCTTCTCGCTCGCAATGGGAAATCTGTGGAAGCTACCGAGCTTTTGGCAAGCATGCCTTTCGAGCCCGATAGTGTGGGTTACACGAGCTTGCTGGAAGCTTGTGACACTCCTGAAAGTGGGATTACCAATGCCACTGCCAAGAACTTCGCGGAGATCCAGCCTCACAGTGCTACTCCTTTATTGTTGCTGTCCAAGAAACTAACGTTTACACAATAAGATCGCTCAATCACTTTGTATATAACATCTAAAGAAAACGATGTCGTAGAAGACATGATGGTAAGTCATGGTGTCAAAGATGCTGGTGGGATCTGGACGTGGAGAACCGATGAGCAGCGAGCAGCCGAGAAGCAGCAAATTGTGGATCTTTTCACCAAGCGGATGAAAGAATCTGGAGATGCCAAGGATCTCCTTGAAAGCAAGCGCATCCACGTAGAGATCAAAGAGAAGGGGCTGGGTCGGAACAGGCTGCTCACAAATCTTCTGATTGAAATGTATGGCAAGTGTGGGAGCCTCGAAGATGCAAAGGATGTTTACACAAACATGGATCATCCGAATGTGTTCTCGGGAAACATCATGATGAACGCGCTCATTAAAAACGGGCATCTTCAGCAAGCTAGAAATGTGTTCGATCGAATGCGCGAGAAGAGTGCGGTGTCCTGGAATACGATAATTGCGGCATATGCCCAAGTTGGGGATATGCGGGAAGCTATGAGTATATTTGACGAGATGCCTTCTCCAAACGTGGTAACTTGGAACTCGCTGCTCGCCGGATACTCGGAACAAAAGGATCTGGAATCTGCAAAGAGGATCTTTAACAAAATGGGAAAGAAAAACCAGGTATCATGGACAACCATGGCTCTAGCTTATGCCCAATGCGGGCATTTGGAGAAATCCCAGAAATTATTCGAGGAGATGCCTGACAAGGATGAGATCTCGTGGACGGCCATGATCTCCGCTTACGCAATCAATGGCCACATAGAGGGCGCACGCAGTGTATTCGATCGAATGCCCTTTGAGAAAAACGTGGTGGCGTGGACAGCCATGCTTAATGCTTACACTCAGGGAGGGTATCTCGAAGATGCCAAGAATCTCTTTTGGCAGATGCCAGACAGGAATGTGGTGTCGTGGACGGTGTTGATTCAAGCGTGTGTGGACAATGGAAACATATCCGACGCTAAAGAGTTCTTTGACAAAATGCCACAAAGGAATCTACTGTCGTGGACAACGATGATCGTTGGATATGCCCAGAAAGGGCATTTGCGCCAGGCATGGAGCCTGTTCCAACAGCTGCCGTACTGGGACCAGGTCTCGTGGACCGCTATGTTCCAGGCGTATGCACGGCATGGCCACATCTCGCGAGCCAGGGTAATGTTTGAGCGTATGCCGTACCACGACGTGGTGGCATGGGCCGCGATGGTCCACTCGTATGCCCTGACAGGGCATACGCTGGAGGTGTTTGAAGTGTTCCAGCTCCTGCTACTCGAGGGCGAAACGCCCGATGATGGAGTGTTCGTGAGCGTTTTGACCGCCTGCAGCCACAGGGGCTTCTACAAGGAAGGCTTGCGTTACTTCAAGTCAATGATGGGCGACCACGGCGCAAAGCCAATGGTGGATCACTACCACTGTTTGATGGATATCTTGGGTCGATTGGGTCGCCTGGAAGAGGCCGAGGAGCTCTTTGCGATGATGCCATTCTCGAGAAAATCGCTGGGGTGGATGACGCTACTAGGTAGCTGTAGAATTCATCGCGAGTTTGACAGAGCCCAAGAGATCGCTGGAAAGGCTGTGGACTCTGGGAGTGGCAATCACTCGATGTATGTGATGCTGGGAAATATATACGGAGAAAGTAAAGGTATGATAAAGGAAGAAAAGGAGAGATGAGATGTGATCATTCTAACCTTGGTTTAAAGGAAGAGAATTACTGCAATGGTTGTTACCGTTTTACCTTGCAACGTTCGACTGCCACCTAAGACGCAAACCGTTTGTCCTCGAGGTAACTGTTTTTTTCTCTTTGTGTGGGTGTTTTCTATCGGTTGTTTCATGTGGAACAGGCTGCCGATAGATAGGTTTGTCTCAAGCTGGAATTTTTTTCCCATCCATCGGGAATTCGAGCATGGTTATCAGATTCGAGGTCTCGCAAGAGCGAAAAAAAATGGAACCAAGAGTGGCAAGATCGAAGGTAGGCCGCCCAGAAGAACAATGCGAGGACCAAGTTTCATGCAAGGAAGCTTGCTGTAGCTGCTGTGGCGGGCTCACTGGGATTTGCGCGGCGTTTTGCTGCTGCCCACTCACGATCCTCCCGCTGGCGGGATTCGTGTGCGTCAAGATCCCCGCCAAGCTCGCCAAGAGATTCGCGAGGAGGTTGAGGAAGCAGCCCAGCCGGAAGCTATGGAGGATGGGATCGTCCGAAAGAGGGCGGCCTGTGAGCCTCAATCTCTTTGGCAGCGGCAGGATCCAGGGTGGCGACGAGCAGCTACGATTCGTGGAGAGCGTGGGATTTGGGAATTCGGGCGATTGGAGGGAGTATTTTGGTGGAGGATCGCGGCGGGGTAGTGGCCGCTGCCCGGAAGAACAAGACGCGTGTAGCTAGATCCTGTAGGTAGGCTAGTTCCTCTACTTGTATAAAGTATCCACGAAAGACAAATGTATGTTGGGCATTAGCAAAATTTCTCCAGTCTCTAGGGTTTTTGGCGATTGGAGCGCGCACGGAGAGATCCAGCGCCAGGAAGCTAGGTAATCCAAGATCTCGCGTCTTCCTCCTCGATTCAGCTAGAAATATCTCTCCTCAGCGATGGAGGATCTCCCGGAGGAGCTGAGGACTCCTCCCGTTGCGCTCGCCGCGCTGGTGGGAATGCCCGAGCTTCATCCGCAGATTTCGATGTCGCTCCACACGGAGCAGCCGCCGATCAACACCCTGGCGCTTCCGGATTTCTCCAAGGTGGCTGTGATTGGAGGCAAGGAGGGAGCTCCGCTCGAGGCTAGGATTCCAGCTCCAGCGGGGGTCCTCAAGGCCGATTGGATGCACAAGCATCGAACCAAAGTTCCTGCCGTGTTGGCTGTGCTCTTCGATCGAGAGCAAGTTAACGGGGATCCAGCGCAATGGATGGAAGTTTGTAGCCATCTAGACAATGTCAGGTTAGTCTTTTTCCTCTTCGTGTTTGTACTCTAACTGAGACGAGTGTACTAGGAATGTGATTCGCGGAAGGAACACGAAGTTGGTTGTGGCGATCGTCCAGCCAACTCTTCACGGTATTTCTATACATTTGTCCCTCTTATAATGAATTTTTTCTTGCATATCCTTCTGTTCAGGTGAAATCAACGATGATCGAACGGCTGCTCTTCGAAAACGTGCAGAGCTTGACAACAAGTGTTGTATGACGTTCATATCTCACGATCCGACTGAATTGAAACGATCTCTCGCGAGGTTCGTTTTTGTTTTTTTGTGCTGGTGAATATCGTTTTCTGTGTACGATGCAGGCTAGGGAGTATTCTGGGGGAGCTTGCAAATCTTTATTACAAAGAACAGTCGCGCCGTGTGAAAGCTCGTCTTGACAAAAAGAACTGGACTGCGACCGAGATTGCTGTTCGTTTCAATTTTAAGGTATTGCCAGCATTTCAAAGCTTTGAACTTCTGATTACTCCGCTGTGATGCAGATGGGTTACTACGCGGAGTTTCGCAGAGATTGGGTGACTGCCCTCAGGTTTTATGAAACGGCGTACACTCTTCTGCTGGAGGTGCTTCTCTTCTATCTAAGGTTGATTTCTTTTGTCAGTCGCCCCCGTGCACGATCTAAGTTCATGTTTGCCTGTCGACTGCTTGTGCGCAACAGTTTCCCGCCTTTCTGATTTTTGCGAATCGCCCTTGACAGGTTTTCAGCAATCCTGCGGAAACTCAGAGTATTCAACGAGTTGTTGAGCTGAAAGCCGTGGCAGAGCAGTTGCATTTCAAAGTCTCAACTTTACTGCTCCACAGTGGGAAGGAAGTTGAGGCCGTGAAGTGGTTTAAGCATCACATTGCTAGTTTCAAGAAGCTTTCTGGACCTCCAGAAGGCATTTTTATGCACTGGGCATGGGTCGGCCAGCAGCACCACGTTTTCGGAGATCTTTTGAAGACTGGCCGTTCTACAGCTCCAACATCTACCGCTGTGCTGGCCGGATCGGGTGTAACTGAGCGGGAATTACAGCCGGGCTTTTACTACCAGGTATTTCATGTTTTCTCGTTCATCGTGGTCTGAAAAAAAGTGAACGTTGCAGATAGCTGCTTCGTATATGGCTGGACGAAGACGAACCTTTGAGAGAGCGTTTGCAACTTTCGAGTCGTTTGATAATCCAGATGCAGTGGACGTTCTAGCTGGTCCTCCAGAAGAAGTTGGTCCGCCCCTCTACGTCGGACAAGGTCCTCGTGTTCTAAGCAGAATGTCAGAAGAACAGAGGTAACTATTCGCGTCGCTCTTGTTTCAGGCTCTTACATATGCCATTGCAGTGCTACACCCGACGAATACATGAGACATGCGATGCTGACGGAAAGACAATTTCCTCATTCGCGAGCTGCAATAAATTTGTTGACCAAGGCTCACGAACAGTACAAAGCCACGCAAGCGACCCGGATGATTTACTATCTTGGAACGCAAATGGGCCGCGAATACTTTCATGCGGGCGAACATGAGAATGCAAAACGGCTATTCGACACCGTCGCCGAAATGTACAGAAAGGAGGCATGGGTTGAGCTTCTCGCCGCGAGCCTGGAATATCTGCGTGAAACGGCTAAACATCTCGGACTCTCTAAAGAGTTTCTGGAGTACAGTTTAGAGCTGGCGGCATTGCCGGAGGAAAGCTGGTCAGAGGTGGCGAGAAGAAGTACTGCACTGACAGACGTCATTGCGGCTATTACAGGGACTGATGCACTGCCAGATGGTGAAGCTCCAATTGCTTTGGAGATCGACCTCGTCAGTCCTCTCAGGGGAGTTTTATCAGTTTGCGTTGCCTTCCACGAGCAGGCGGTGAAACCGGGTATGTCAACACGCTTGACAGTTTCCCTGCTCACTCATTTACCGCATCCGTTGGAACTTGGTGACTTGGAGATACACTTCAACCAGAATGCTTGTAATCTTGCTCTCAAGCATTCTCTGGACCAGGGCTGCGATCTGAAACTTATGCCGCATCAGTGGAAACGACTGGAAGTTGATATAATTGCAGGTACAATATCTCTCTCGAAAAATTATCGGTTGTGATGTTTTTCTGCTTGTTGCAGTAAAAAGCGGGAAACTAGAGTGTCTGTTCGCTGTTGCACGACTAGGACGCAACACCACCGTTCGCTGTCAAGTGGAGAGCCCGGCTTCTAGAGAACCGGATCCGTTTTGGCAGTTTGAGCCAGCGCTCGAGAGTTACCCCGTGAAGGATAAGAACTTGGCTTTTCTAGGACAGAAGGTTGTACAGGTGGAAGAGGTGGAACCCAAGGTTGATATAGAAATCGACTCAGGAGGCACAGGCTTACTCGGGGAAACGGTTTTAGTTAGAATACACATCAGGTCCAGGGGGCATGCTATCGACGCCGGAGAATTGCAAGTGTCCGTGACTGAGGTCGCTTCCAACGATGCCTTTTCGCCGAAAACACCTTCCACAGGCTCCTCTGCTGCGTGTGCTAAGATATTCGTACCAGCTCGATTGAAAGATGGAAGTGGTGAGACGCTTCTATGGGAGTTTCAGGGGTCCATGAAGATACCTTACGTCGAAGCAGATGGAAGCTGGTCGACCTCCACGTACTTACGGTTTACAGAAGCGAAACCAGTCTCCTTTTTTGTTACATTGGGATACCAGATACAGTTTGGAACCAACGACGACACTCATAAGCTGTGGAGTCATAAACACGTCGACTTACAATGCGAGGAGGCTCTGAGAATCAACTGTAGGTACATGGTTCCGTTTCAGAGAGACGCGTTTCTTCCAGGCAGCGTCGAGAGATCTGCTGGAACCGTCCTACCTTTTGATGAAA